ATGAGAAGAGCCATTTGGGCAGACTGGAGAAAGAGGGTAAACAGCGGAAGGGGACCAAGGAGGAAGCTGTAGTGGTTTTTGAGAACCTGGGCGAAAAGGAATCAGTGGAGTACACTCCACGAGAGGGTTGATCATCTCAAAGTGGCCGAGTGGGGAGTTTAGGAGGTAAGTAGGGAGGACCAGGGCATCTCGGTCAATAGGGAGGAGGATAGAGAGTGCCATATGTTGAACCAGGGAACTCGGCTATTTAGGGACGCAGGGGTCCAGTAGGAGAGTCCCATTTAATAAGTAACTTATGTTCCACTGGGCCGCATAGGCGGTCGCCGGTGTTAGGTGGGTAGGAGGTTTTTCTTAAAGTGAGTTTCGGTTGAAGTAGGATTGTTTGAGGAAAGTTGTAGTCTTGGTTGATAAACACTGTGCGAGGAAAAATATTTTGATTGATGTCGAATTGGTTCATTAAGGTGGTCCTCGGTTCGGTCGGGGCCGTAAGCTAAGCTGGCTGATGTTGTCAGATACTTCCGGGTTGAATTGTGAGGTCCCCGGCCTCAATTGATGGTTTCAATGATAAAAGAGTGTTTTGTTTAAAAAAAAAAAAAACCGCCCACTTTTGACGCAGCGCTTGCCCCGAAAGGTGCCATTGTCAGTATCCCCGAAAGGTGCCATTGTCAGTATGCTGTAAGGATAGTCAGGGTGTGAGCGCGCCCTAACTTGACCGACATTGCCACGCTTCACCAAATGAGCAAAATCAGAATGAATCTTCAACCAAAACATGGAAATATACAATGCCACCGGTTTGGGACCCCCAGTTCGGGATCACCACTTTGGGACCAGTTCAATTCTGTTATGAAAACAGGTGTGGGTAAGACGGGATTTATAACAAAGAATACTCGATCCAATGGATCGAGTAGGCCTAATGGGAACATCTTAGTGCCAATGTGGGTTTGTACCATATCCGCGATCTAACCCTATTCATACTAAATTACCAACCAATACACTGTGCGGACGACTAAGGGCCAGAACCAATTGTTGTTGTGTTTGTGCCTGAAAAGGATGAATTTGTCGGCAATGATGACCAGGTTCGGGCTTCCTGAGTATGACGTCATATCGACCTTACGAGAGGGCCTTCCTCGTCAGAAGCAGAGTTCCTACTGTAAGATCAATACCAACCACTGCACTGTGAAAACGACTCAGGGCCAGAGCCCATTGCTGCTATGTTTGTGCCTGAAACGAATGAATTTGCCGGCAATGATGAGCTACAGAAGTATAAATCAAGAGGCAGCGCCCAGCCATTCATTCATTCCTGCATAAGCCATGCGGAAGCGCTGCCACAACGACTTGTGCGAGGTGGTCTGCAGTGAGCCCGAAGACGAAGTGGGCGAGAAGGAAAGCTTAGCCATAGCATAGCGATAGGTGTAGTAGCAGCCATAGCCGCCATAGCTGATAGGAGAGTTTAGCGTGTGTGTGCGTGTGGGTACAGTGTGACGCTTGTAAGATATCCAGGGTGATCTTGTGTTGGGTGCGTGTGAACAGGAGAGTTGGGGACAGTAACGAGCAAGGGTTGTACAGGCGCTGACGCACCATAGCCATTTGAAGTGAGCGTGTTCTGAAATGTGTTCTTGGTTACCATATCTCTGAGTTTTAAGTGGGCGCTTGTCGCCAGTTTGCTGCGCAACCTGTTTACATGCATGTGAAGTGTGAAAGATAGCGAGTCTGATTGCAGATGCATGTCCCAACCGTAATTCGCCAGCAATGTCCGTACACTGCAGACAGGTTTGGTCCACAGGAAAGTGCACAAAATTGAGGATCCAAAGGGAGTACCAGTTTGTGAGTGCCGCAACTTTTGGCCATTTTTGAGTTCTCATTTCAGTTGACGAAAACCTCCGGGGAAATTGCCCAAAAGAAAACACCAATCAACTGATTTTGGCACAAACTCAACACCTACATTTGCTCCTCCTCGCTGTGAAAAGTAGACGCATACAGGCAACACAAGTACACTAGCGTCAAGGCGTGTTTATAACCGATTTTCCTGACAACATAGGCATGCTGCTGAGCCACCTTTTTTTTTTTTTTTTTTTTTTTTTTTTGTGTGTGTGTGTGTGAG